GTGGGGCATTTACTAAATGATCTAGAAAACAGCTGTGGGGGCTCCCGTGGGCCACTGTGGCGAATGTTGATTCAGTTATCTGAGATTTATCTTTTTATTTATTTATCTCCCTGGGTAAATCTCCCCTCCTTTCCAATTATCCCCGTTCCAACACACCCAGTGGACCTCGGTCCCTTCCAGCCACATGTGGACCAGGCGGGCGGGATGTCCTGCCGGAAGTATGTCCTGCAGGCTCCCCACGGCCCCACCTGCCCAGGGCCGGGGCAGAACCTGCTGGGCCCAGTGAGGTGCTTCCCTGAGGTGCTTCCCCAGACAGACCTCTGTCCCCAGTTCACTCTTCTCCCTCTAGGCCCTGCCCCAGTGTCCCCCACCAAGCCCCCAGCGGCAGCAAGAGTATGGGCTCCTAGGGGGATGCTGCCCACAAATAGGGGCTCTGCTCCCGCCCAGGCCCCAAGCCATCCCTCCCTCTAATCCCCATCAGTGGGGGTCCAGGTAATTGGAACTCGGGGAGCCCTGAACTTCCTGCCCAGAGACAGTTCTCAGGACCAAGAGGTGCTCACAGTACCTGACAATTCCCAGGGGTCCTCACAGGGCAAGGACACTAAGGGGCACGTCCCCGTGCGTCAGTTAGGGTGACCAGGAGCCGAGGGCCCTGGGCCCGCCACTCCCCGGGGGCCTGGGATGAAGCCCCTTGCCCCATCCCACTGCACCCCAGCCCCAGGCCCAGGCCCAGGCAGGCCCAGGGACCATCCTCCCTGCAGGGACCCAGGGGCCCGGGCATGCGGGGGACTCGGAGTGTGAGGCCGGAGCCAGGAGCAGCGGGGATTAGAAACCAGAGCAGGGGGCCGGGCGGGCCAATGTACCACTTTCCCGTGGGGCCTGCAAGGCTGGCTCTGAGCCCTGGGAAACCCAAGGACAAGCCCCTCCTCGGCTCCAGGGACAGGATGCACAGCGCAGCCCCTCCTGACCCCCGTCTAGAAGTGAGGCTCCCTGGGATTGAGCAGCTGGGGGTCTCTGGGTCTGAGGAGGTCAGCCCCACGGCCCCTCTGGATGGGGCAGAGGTGGTGACCGGAGGCCTGGGGGTTTGACCCTAACACCCCTCCTGGCCCCTGGCCCAGTCTCAGGTCCCAGGTGGGGCCCCAGCGTGCAGAGGCCAGGCCTCCGCTGGGATAAGCAGAACAGCAGCTGGGAAGGCGGCGGTGAGGCTCCGTCAGGCCAGGTGACCAGGGTCCACCGCCCCCACCCTTTTCCCAGGCTCAGCGCCACCATCAGACCCCTGGTTAGTCTTCACGGCCTCTGGACATCAGCCCTCAAAGTGGGCGTCATGGGGCCCCTCACAGGTGAGGCCGCGGGGTGCAGGCTCCATGACATAGGGGGACAGAAGCAAACAGGACATGTCTGGAGGTGTTGGGCCCCGGGTGCCCTTAGGCACAGACACCTGCCGCTGCTCCTGCGAACTGGGGACTGTGGGCCCGACAACGCCTCCCCTCCCCGCGCTGGGCTTCCCTGTTCCCCACGGGGACTGTTCTGGCCGCGGTGCAGGGAGACAGTCGAGGAAACTGCCAGCTGAGGCCTCTCTCCAGACAAGGGGGTGATGCCCAGGGACCCCCAGAACATCTGCTCAGCCACAGCTGGCGCCTGCCCAGGGCCCAGAGCCCCATGCACG